TTCGGCCCTCGTCTGGTCCTTTAGCAGCGCGCACTGCTCATAAGCTATTCTGATGCCCTCAATGGCATCTCTCATTGTTTGGTGAATGGATCGCCTTTTGCCGTCCTCCAACATTTCCACCAGTGCCTCTAAGTGATAACCCAGCCTTGCGAAGGGTTCCGTAGCCCCCGCGTCTGTCATAGGCACTCTCCCTAGTTTGGTAGGCGACGGTGGCTGGGCTTGGCCGCCAACCGGGGATCGTAGCATTCTGCTACTCGCCCTTAACGGGTTCTCGTCGCTCAGATCACTGGCGTGAACCCCACTGTGTACTTTTTTTGTCGAACCGGCAGACATCGGTGTTGCTACTTTTGTTTTATTTGTATACATGTTTTATTTTATATGGACCCCAACTGGGAAGCCTCTATTCGGTTCCGCTGGTGTAGTTGCTGTTAGGACCCCATAGTTATCTTTGCAAGCAGTGAGGCCATGCAATGGGTTCACGCTAGCCCTTATGAGACTAGCGTTCAGTGCCAGGTCCAGCATTAGCCAGGAGTTCTTCTCAACTCGACCTACACCCACCAATTTAACGGTGCGGCCTGGAATGTACTTCCCACACTTGCCATAATTTCAACGGAGCGAGGGCGGTGTCAGCATTAGCCCGAAAGCCATTTCGGCTGGATGTCACTCCAACTTACTCAGGTAACGGAATACTGCCACTACCAGCTCAAAGTCGTCGATTTAAATACGTGTTCCGGTATACCCTAATCAAAACCTTAACGGGCTCGGTCTTGATGCCTATCTCTAGGTTTCGTAGAATTGACTCCCTCGGTGTCACCCCCACACTAAGGGTGGGGAGCACCTATTCCAAGGACGGCGCTTACTCGTCCTGTCACCGAAGATTCGCAGAGTTATGCGGCCTTTTCAGCCACCCCTCCTCCTCTGCCGCTCTTGGTCGGGGACTGCTTATTGGTTATTCGCAGCTAACCTACCGATATACCCTTGAATACCCGCAGGCCGATCACAATCCGCCACCTGTGACCCCCACAGTAGGCTGAGTTTAGCCCTGTGCATGTGTGTGTGTGAAATAAGAGAAAGGAGTTATATTTAAACATTTTTAGATACCGTGGAATATCCGAAATTTATCGATAAAATCCTCCCTTCAAAAATAGCCATCTATTTTCCATCCTTTCAACGATGAACTTAAAGAAAATATGTACTGGCGCTGTTTGTTGCTAATTCACGTTGACTTTTAGCGCGAAGTTGATAATGTCCTTTCAAGTGCTCGACGAAAGTAGAGAGTGATTGATAAAAGTACAGTGTTTTTCAAATCAAGCATAATGGCAATCTCCTTAAAATTTATCATCAAATTTCAGTACAACGTTTTAACATTCAAGAGCGGTACTGTTTTAAGCAAAAGCAAACATTTAAATAGGCATTGTCATAAAATAGTCATTGACAAAATTTCAAAAATTTCACTGGAAAGAAGTAGTTGACTACATAGCATTGTCGATAATTGATTTTATTCCCCGAAAGTTTTGTCGTGATTTGCTAATTAAAATGAAAAGTTATTGTTGTTAACTTTATCATTTCACTGGAGCAATCCCAGTTATTTTTTCTGTAAAGAAAGGTATTGATCAAAAGATGTGTACATTAATAAATTAAAAAGGCGAACTACAATCAAACTGTTTGTCTTACTTTTCTTTTAAAGCCGTTTCGTGTTTGTAAATTCATCAAAATTTCAGGACGAAGTATGAATGAACCGTGCATCGTCCAATCATAACATTGACTGCATGGTTTACTTCGAATCAACATATTCTCTTTGACAAAATTTTAAAAATTTCACTGAAAGTAAGTCCTCGATCACACAACAATGTCAATGTGTTTGTTTATGTGTGTGATTGTGTATGTGTGTGCAAGGCTCAAAACACGTTTTTTTCAGTTTTTTTATATTATTACCATCACACTAAAGCAATGCCGTTATAATTGCAACTATCTTTGGTAAAAAACTAACGGTTGAATATATGTTAAGAAGACAAAGTGGAAATATACAACTGAAGTATTTTCAGCAGTTTGCTTCTGCAAAAGCTCCATTATTCTTCTCAAAATATTCGTAAACCTTTCATATAAAATGCGCCTGTAGAACTTCAAAAGTGAACTTTTACTTTTAGTAAATTTATAATGACTGTGTAGATATATCCATTTGTTTGATGAAAATGTATTGCCAAATTGCCAATTTATGCACACCATTGAGTTACTTACCTACTGAAACTTTGTGGAAAAAATTCCACTTTCAGTTTAAAAAGACTTATTTTATTATTGGTCTAATACTTTCGGAAAACTACGAAATTTTAACTTTCTTCAAGGACCGCTTTAAATGTCGCTTCAGAAATGTAAAGAAATTGTAACAAATGTTCAATTTTATTAAACCACATTGTTACGGAAATCCCAAATCCTGTGCATTCCAGGTAAGTAACAAAATCCCTAATGAGGGAAAAACTAAAGACACATTCGCAGCATGGAGCTGCCGGACGATGAAAACAAGTACCATGCAATAATAACTAGTAAATGAAGTGTGCGGGACTAAGAGGGTGTGTTGCTGCAAAAAAACCAACTAATAATTCGACATAAGAAAAATAGACTAAAATGGGCTGAGACGCTTAAAAATTGGGCAATAGGCCGATAGGAAAATTTCCTTTGGAGGGACAAATAAAAATTTCCGGTTTTCGAATCTAATATACGTGTGTTTGTACGCAAGTCAAAAGAAAAGACCGCTTGAGAAGCATGTCAAAAGAAAAGAGCGCTTGAGAAGCATGTATAGTGCCTAGCATCAAACATGGTGGGGGTAATGTCATTGTGTCAGGTTAGTTTAGCAACAGTAAATCCGGGAATCTTGTAAGGGCAATCAAAAAAGTAAGCAAAAATCCTATTTAAAAATTCTGCAGGACTCCGTCATACCCAGTCAGCTGTATTCCTGTGATCCTGCATTCATCTTTCAGCAGGATAATGATAAACTGTGCTAGAACTTTTTAAACATGAAGCAAGTAAGAACATAGTCCAACCGGTCTAAACCTTTCACACCAATCTAGAACGGCGAAATACTATTCCTTAGCCACCTTTGTCGAGAAATTTTGAGAATTGAAATTTTATTCAATATAAGGAGTTTTCAAAATAGGACGTAATATGTTAACATGGGTTGAGGTCGAAAAAGTGGACCGATCCGAAGCACTTTTAAAGCGTTTGTCCTTGCCCCAAAGTACGTCAGTGCACCAAATTTCATCAAAATGTCTCACAAATTACGACCTGCAGCTCAAACACAAAATTCATAGACAGACATCTATGATGATTATTTCGTTTAAAGCTGGCATTGTTGTATTAAGGAGTCATAAACGGTAATTTCCAAATAATGGATCAATTAATACATTAAAAGGCTGTTGATGGTATTACAACATTTAAGCAGATTATGAAGATTAACAAAATTGCTATTTTTTACAAATATGTTGTTTATGTTTACGTTGACTTGTTTATTCTTAGTTCTGAAATCATATGTTTTTGGTTACATTTTCTGTAAAAAAATACAGTAGCGCGGCTGCCCATTGTGTTCACCATTTCCAAGTTTTTAGCCCGAACACGAATATGACGAGTCCTTAGTTCAGTCCCCTATGATTGAACCAATGTTTTAATAACCGTTACAAATAAGTGCTGGGTTACTACGAAATAATTTAAAAGACAGGTATTTCCTTTTATCCATCTAATCGAAAACTTACATTATTTAAAATTATTCAATGAGAAATATAATTAACATAACGATAACAATACGTATAAATCTATGACTTGGTCCACAAATTTTCGAACGTAGACCATAAAATTACCCCACTTGATTTAACTTGCCGTGGTACTATTTGATTTCACTCTTTGGGCGAGAATTGTTTACGAGTGAATAACATCCGCTGAATTTTTATAAAAATAGAATCGTTTAGACATGAAGTTTAAATTAATTGTACTGGTCTGCCATATTGGAGAAGTTTATAAGTTAACGTTATTCTCAATAACTATAACTATCTTCAGATGTAGTAGTATTTTGTCACCATTCACTTGAAGGGTTAAGTTGAACAGGGAATAATATTTTTCGTTGCAGAATAAAACTTTGTTTAATAATGAAAAAAAAAAACAAAATTCCTAACACGAAGATTACAAGATTTTTGAAACAAGATTCCATATTGCATAAGCTACTGAAAAAGATCGAGGTATTCCAGTTAATCTATGAGAATCATGAGGGAGAAAATTAAGTTTACCTCAACAAATTTTACTATAAATTGAGCTTTTAATATAGTTGATCATGAAGTTACATTTATAAGTAAGAGATACCTATAAATAAATAAATAAATGCTGCTATTATTACAAATGTAGCTTCCGTTGATAAAGCATACTGAAATTCTTTATTGCAATTCATACCTGTGTTTAGACAATTCTTACTGCTTCGCTGCAGCCTAGTATTTTATTTACTTGAAATTTTGCAAACTGTAGAACGCGGTACTGGCAAAAAGCTTCTTTCCGATTAATTTATTAACGAAAAGGTCTTTTTTCTATTTCATTCTACAAATGTTCCGCAGTTCCCGTAAGTAACATTGTCAGAGATTGTAGTTAGGGAAAACACAACCAATGTTTTTAATATAAATATTTAGAAATTAGCTTATTAAGTTTCGTACCAAAAACTTCGTGTTCACATTGATCCAGTTTTAATCAATACAGCCAATTTTATATGAAGATCTGCTATAGCGATTTAACTCAAAGAATTCAATGAATTCGGTGAAAAAAGAACGAAATGGCCCACCATATTCACATGTAACCTCGTGGGCTTGAAACAGTTCGTAACAGATTGTTTACTAAGCAATCGTCAAGCACTTGTAATAATTCTATATTAATTCTTTTTAAGAAGAAGAAGAAAAAGCACATGGTATTGCTGGAAATTCATGCAGTGTTCTTGTGAAGGCAAAAAGTTATAAATAGTTAGAAACAGAAAAATGGAAGAGGAATATATTGCAACTGAACATATTCTACCCGAAAAAGTAGCTAAGAAGCGATTAGCAATAGACGAATCAGAATCGCGAGTTGGAGATTCCATCGAAATTGTAGACTCGAATCAAAGCTTGCTGGCGCCAAGGGCAAAGCGCATTAAGAGTGAAATACGGAAAATTGCTGTACCTCCGCACAGGTAATCAGGAGAGTTTCGCAATCCATTGGTGGCTTTTGAGAACTTGTGCTTTTTTTAGGTATTCGGCGTTGAAGGAAAACTGGATGAAAATATTTACGCCAATAGTTGACAATATGAAGCTACAAATACGCTTTAACACCAAATTGCGACAAGTAATTACGCTACTATTCTCACACACAAAGGAAAATTATATTTTCTTCAATTTTTATTTTAAGGTGGAAATTCGTTCAAGTTCCGAAACTCCAGATCTGTCGAATCTTCAGAAAGGCGTAGATTTTGTAAAGGCTTTTCTTTGCGGTTTCGATGCTGATGATGCTTTAGCTCTACTTCGCCTAGATGACTTGTTCATTGAAACCTTTGAAATTAAAGATGTGAAAACTTTGCGCGGCGACCATATGAGCCGTGCTATAGGACGGTTAGCTGGAAAAGGGGGACGCACGAAATTCACAATTGAAAATGTCACAAAAACGCGTATTGTTTTAGCCGACAGCAAAATTCATATATTAGGCGCTTATCAAAGCATACAACTTGCCCGCCGTGCCATCTGTAACTTAATATTGGGATCCCCACCAAGTAAAGTTTATAGTAATCTACGCTCAGTGGCTGGCCGTATTAGCGAAAAAATATGATGAATTCAATATTAGGCCTTACAATATTTATTAGTTAATTGGAAAATTAAATAGATTAGGATTCTTTCTAAACCTTTGTAAAAATTAAAATTACCAACATAGACAATGATATTGCTGCCAACACCATTATTACGCACATCTTACGATTTTTTCTTTGATACATTTCAGCTCGACGCAATTGCCGCAATCCTTCAGATATTCTTGTTTGCGTCTGTTCTATTGAATAATCGATACGATCCAAAATCGTCCCTTGTTCATGTACCATATGACCTAGATCCTTAAAGATGTCGTTAAGATCATAAATAGACTTCACTATTTTAGTAACTTCTTCATCGCGACTTGAAACCAGACGACTATTTTCTTCTTCAAAAAGCAACAATTGCTGTTGGGTCAGCATTCTACTAGTGCTTGGCCGCTGAAAATGCCCATCCAAATCTTCAGAAATGTCCTCGTCATATAAAACTGATCCCTTTTTAGAGTTCGACAATTGCAAAAAGTTATCGAAGGAATCCACATAATTTTCACGTTCTTCACTTTCGCCAGTTTTTGTAAAATCATCAAAAAATCTCTGGGAACGTTCCTCTCTTATGTTTAACTGTTTGAGATACATATTTTGGCTGTTACGAAACTTTATAGAAAGTTCTTGAAGGCTAATCAATAGAAAAGTAGCAACGTTTGAAGTTAAGCGTTGTTCTGACTTGGTACCGACGTCTACACAGGAACGTATGTGTTGTGTATGGCGATGCGCTGATGTTATAAGTTTCGATATTTCTTGACTAAGTTTATCCATTTCTTGTTGATTTTCTGTGTTTTCGTCAAACGCCGGACGAAGCAAATGACGAGCGTGCAAAGAACCAAGTTCATCTAGCTTTGGTTTTATTCTATAAAATAAAACCGGAAATTTGTAAACTCTATTTACTTCTAGTTGAATGAAATTATTTCTATGATAAGCTTCTTACATCGATAATAAAAAAAAAAAATTAATCTTTTACAATTATAGAGCACTGAGTTAAGGTTTCAAAAAAACTGACCAAAGGTTCGATATGCGATACTGAAAAAGCCCTAATTTTTAAATTCATTCCTTTTTCGGAAAATTTTATTTGCCTCACTTCCCACGCAAGTATGTGCGTACGTAAGACTGTGAGCTTATATGACAATCCGCATTAAAAAGTAAAACTTTTAAGCGCTATTGCAACCGGCATCTGGTATCGTCTTGAATTCAATCCGGTTTCCAAAATTACGAAATGAAATGACGATACTTTAAGCACACCATGTATGCGAGCTTATGTTGCTTCACAGGAATACATTCACTTCGTTGAAATACCTAATTTTGTATTAAATATGAAAACTATTGTCAAAAAACTGTCCCTCTTCTAAGCACAAAATTTTTCTAAGACCAAATAAATGTACAGTAGTCAGAGGAACATACCGGACTTTTGAACGCGTTTTTCGAAAACTAAGATTTTTTCGGACATGTAAAAAGAGATTTGGGCAGTTCTTAAAAAGGCGTATTTTGACTATTTATGCGTAACATTGTTTCACCGACATACTTTGACATGGTGTATTGAGCTTCTTCTAACTTATCCATCCATGTTGGTTGCGATCCATATTCATCACGTAGTTCTATACCCTCTTCCATATCACCTATTGAATGTTTTAGAAGCAATTCAGCATCATCACCTCCTTTCTGGAAAAATAAGAGATTAAAAATCACCAAGCATATTATTTGGCGGCTAGTGAAATAATTTACTCTATCTTCCGCGTAGAGGCTCCTATTTTTTGAAGCATTGTTACGCATTATATTAAAAACTTCCGTCAAATTACGGGAAGACATTTTTCGTATACATTTACTTTGCTCCTTAATTAAATATATCGCTATTAACTATACAAATTTCCACCACTTTTTTTAAGACCATATGTTCACAACTTGTCGCAGCAAACTTTCTTACGGACATAACGGATTTCTATACTAATTCGAAAAAATACACCGCTGAGAAAATAGCAAAATATAAAGGAACAGTTAGCTTAGCTTTAATAAGTGGTGAATTATTAAAATATTGACCATGTGCTTGGATAGCCAGATATACAATTCGATCAATATTTTGCCCGAATTCCTGAATTGTCTTGCTAAAAAAGTACCCAAAGCTATTTGTATTTCGTAATGTACCATATCTTGAATACTACAGTCGATATCTTATTTTAAGGATAAAGAATATAAAATCTTGTCAAACAATGCCATTTAACAAAGCAGAACAAGAAATGCTCGAAAGAGCATTCTTGAAAATAAATGACTTTAAAGTTTAAATATAACACTTTTTCTAATTGACTTTTTTGAAAATTTTTCGCACATATCGTGAATAATTTAGCTAATAGAATAAAAATATATTTTTAGATATGTTATTGGTCGTAACGAATTCACGAATAAGATAACTGTGTAAACGATACGATGCGAAGCGAGGAACTATTAGCGTTTTCTTAAGGTGCGTTTATTTTTCATGTTTTGTATTTATAAAATCTTCTGGATGGTAACACTGTTGAAATTAAATATACTTTATTCGTTTTCTGTAATTTCCTCAAAATTTTCCCATTATGTTTACGGTTCCGCGCGTAAGACAACGTAAGACTGGCTTGCATTTATAGTAATATTTAATTTGCCCAAAAAAAAAAATAGATAAATAAATTAAGACGAGTCCTACCAAATAAAATTACGTTACTTAATATAATAGAAGTGGAAAACCTTAATATATATATAACAAATCTGAGGCCGTTATGTGGTTAGCTGTTATTAAGCCAACATTGTTTATTGCCTCCTTTAAGTTTGCATTGATTTCTTATGCGTGTGTGTGTGCGTATATATGGCCATTACTTTGTAGTAGACTGCTTTTCTTTCTTTTTCTGGAATGTTAAAACAACTTTTTGCTCCTTTCAAAACAAGATGCCGATGTTGTGAATGCTTAACACAAGTAGCTGCTGCCGTCACTGATTTCGATGCGATGATGATCATGAAGGCAACCTAATAACATCAGTAAATAGTGGTAGTCGGTGCAAGTAGTGATACACTCAATTGGTGAGGCAGTTTATAGGTTTATCAAATCTTTGGGCTAGAATTATATGCACATACACGCAAATACACAAATACATATATGTGATCATTAACCGCGGAATCTGAATTGATTTCTGGCTATTTTATTATTTTAATATAGAGGTGTTTTGAAGTAACTCAACATATAATTGCTTTGTATTCATTATAATTCCTTGTTCTATCTTCAGTTTTCTTTAAAACAGCGTATAGTGAATTAAAATATATTGTATTACATATTTTCTAACGTTTGTTTGTGTGGACAATTGGATATCTATTGGGCCTCGATTAACAACTGGTTTGTTAAGTTTTTTTATTGTCACCCAACAGTTTAAGCAAATATCGTTACAATCGTGTTCGGCCGTCTTCGTGTAATTAATGTGGAATTAGAGGATCTATACTACCTTCATGTATTGTGTGTTTCATAAAGTTAGCAAGTCTCCCCAAAGGATTACAAAGCAAAGGTAATTAACCGTATTTATGAATATTTTTAAATGTATATGCATAAACATGTAAATGCATGTTTATCATTTTCATAGTGTGTAAATATGATTCCATTCGCAAATCGGGTGCATAAATGACGAATTTAAATAACTAGTCTGCATTATTTGTTGCCTATCCTATAGTATAGTATATGAGTAAAAATAAAATAAGTTCTTGTAGGGACGGGACTATCTAATGTCTAGTATCTGGAGGTGTACTGTTCTGTTAACTTCCACCAAGGAAAATGTAAACATATATGCATGCCAGTCTCTTGTGGCTGCTTACAAAGCGTATTGATCAAATGAAATATGTTAAGTGATATCGAAAGAAAGTTGTAAAATACGCTTTCATTTAAGTGAACTAAAAGATAAAAAATAAACTATGTTCCTATGTGTTACATGAGTGCACGTAAAAGATTAAGAGGCTTAAGATTTTAATGTATTGGAAATTAGTCCTAATCATTTGCGTATAGACATATAAAAGTAACTGACAAAATTGACTTTCTATCTTTTGGTTTAATTGAAATAAAAACTGGTGTTAAAAAAAATTTTTTTTTCTATAAATTACTTTATATTTTTTGGTCTTTGTTTTAATTCGCATTCTGCTCTCCAAGCCCTTTTATTTAACATCCATATCGTTGTGGCGCCCGCATTCTATTCTTCAAACGCTTTTAAGTGTTAAGAAAAAGATAATAAGCCACTTTGTAGCGGCCGCCATTGTGAATGTACAGGGAAACTGATTGCACCTTAATGCATTGTTAACGAAACGACAGCTGTATGAAAAGTTTCAGAATGATTAACCGTACTCAAGTGGCTGAAATATCGGTTGACTGAAATGGACCTGTGAACAAGTTCGTTTTAAGCCGAAATTATTTGCCGTTTCCACGAGTCGACCAGAATACTTTTAATACATAATTCGTACACCAGTTTAATTATAAAAATTTGAGTATGAATATTATACATCTGGCTATTTGTTTACACCTTTTTTGGTCCTCGACTTGGCTTCATTCATTATCAGTGCATCAACCCCTGTAAGTACTCTTGTTTTCAAATTCCTAAATTGCAAGTCTTCTACACTCTGCATTTTCTTTTCTTCTATTTTGATTCTCTCGAGTAAAATGGAGCAAAAAGCGATCGAAAAGGGATAGAGCTTAAGAAAATGCCTTTATACGCTTTGCTAGTAGGCGTTTGAGTCAAGTCTTATGTGTCTATATGTTTAACAAGTATCAAATCGATAGTAAAAGCTTTTAGGTTTTCCTCACAAGTTTATTTTTTTATTGCGCTTTTTTTAAATTAGATCTGTAGAACTTACCTAAAGGCAAGTTCAGTTTCATGAAGTTTCTTATGTTTATGAAATTTTTTTTATTAACTCAATTTTTTTTGGCGACTGTTTCTCGACCAGATTTGTTCGAACCATATGTTTTTTCCATAGATGCAATCACTTATTATTGTTCGAACAAATTTTTAGTTCTGGACAGCAGCAATATTACCTATTATTCTTTACCTCTAGTCTTTGTGTTATTGATATTGTACATACTGACTCGCGTTTTCTTCACAAGAGCTTCGATGACTCACTTATCATTACGTAAATTAAGGTTAGTATGTGCAAGGTTGCCCTGATCACAAGTAGATTTGTTGGACGCTATATTATTCCAAGCATATTTCGTGTTGAAATATCAAGAGCAAATAGAAGCAATGTTAGCGTATATCCTTAACAATATAACCGAATATAATCGTAAAAAAAAAGAAAAAATGTTCAATAGCTTATATAAGGTATTCAAGGACCAGAATCGCATCGCTCCGGTCATGTCGATGCAAGCGAGACAGTGGATTTCTTTTAGGGCCATCGCCGCCATATCTTGTTTTATCTTAGGCCACCAGACTGGAGCTACATAGGTTGGTATAGAAATGATTATGGTGGTATGAGACCAATGAATCATATGTCGGCTTACGCTTAGGTTTTACCGTACATTTCTTAAGTCCGGTCAGTTGTTTCGCATGAGGGTTCCAAGTAAGGGTTTTGTCAAATTTGACGCCCCGGTATAGAATTTCATTGTTTTTTATTTGAGAGCAAAAAGGTCGACAAACTGTGTCAGACAGAATTGTTTAGCAATGCATATGTAGAACTTCATCTCATCTTCCCTAATTCAAATCTGTTCCATGGTTTCCCAAGATGAAATGAGCATAAACGGATAGCGTTACTGTAATTGTGTTGGAAAATAATGTTGTGTTATGCAGTTATTAAACGGACTTCATTTCATTGACTTTTTCTGAGTAATTACTGGATTGCGATCTCCTGACGGTTTCTGGTTTCTTTTTTTGTGTAACGTGCTTGGTGGCGCCTCTGCAGTGGTTTATCAAATTTTCATTCCGTGTGGCATAAAGACGCATTTGAAGTGCGTGTGTAGCGAGCTACTTCCTGATTGCTGTTGAAGGTAAACTTTATTTACTTGTGAGAATGGCAGTTACTAAGAAGAACAGCAAGTGTTCATCGTGCTATATCTTAATTGGTAGCCATGAGGCTGTAGGTTGCGAAATGTATTTAACGTGGCTTCATGACTCGTGTATTGGTCTATCGAATGAGGATGTTCTTAGGGTGAGTGATGATGTGTCACTTTTTGCTTTTGCTACTGTAGAGGAAGAACGACGAATTACAAAAAATATACCTTTAGTCTGAAGGAACAGAACCGCCCGATCTCTTTTGATGCCACTTACTTTAAATCCATGATAGATCAATTAACTGTGGAATTACAGCTATCGATGAAGGAGTCAATGAATGATGCCTTAATTGCTCTCAAATCGGAACTGAAGCTGAGTACTGAAAGGATGAAAGTTAAGGTGAAGTCCTGTGAACAAAGTGTAGATCACATTAAGAACGTTATGGACTGGTGTTATGGATTGGTGGCCGTGAATGGGAAAACTAATGCACTGTATAGAATGATAAACACGTCGAACTTTATCATTAGCGGCTTTCCTGAAAATCTTAGTGATGCACCGTGAACAGTGATAAAGATAGCAGGGCACTGCTCATTGTCTATTGCACTGCATGGCATCAATTTTGCTGGTTATATGAAGAATAAAAAACTATAATGCTTATATTGAATTCGATTGAGATACGTGACTTGTTGGTGGGCATGTACTTTAAGGACTTTGAAGTACATCTGCTCTATGCTGTGAACTGTGTAGATGACCCCAAATTTACACAAGACATTCTGAATCTTAACGATCCTCAGTGCAGCAGGAGAGTTGAATAAGATATGTGCTGATCTTTTTAAAAAGGGCAGAGTCGCGAATTTCAGGATTGTTAATGCTATTAAGCCTTGTGCTGTTTTGGTGCTGATGGTAACACTACGAAATTGGATCTTCAAGTCTGTAAGGAAATGCTGAACAGAACATTCATGGTAAATGCTGAATTAAGTGCTGAACGGAATATGCAAAACTAGTAACTATACGCCTTGATGGCATGTTTTAGGGTGATTGGTATGTTTTGGGATGATAAGGTAGTGTTGTATAATGTATTTTTTAGTGATTAATATAATTGTAATTGTCTTTTTCTTTAAAATTAATTGTGAATCAGTTGACTAACCCTAATACGGGTCCCGTTGCGTGTAGTAGCTCATATAGCTTTCAGTCGGGGGGCACTCTTTCTGAGCAGATGATAATAGCGAATGTAAACTGCTAGAATATTAAGACTCTTTTACGCTCCACGAAATTTGATAAATTGAAGGCTCTGGACAAGTTTAACCTCATTGCCATCTCGGAAACGTGATTAAAACCCCATGTCTTTTGTCGATCTGTGCATATTCCTGGCTGTAACCTTATTAAAAATGAGAGATTATTAGGTCAGTGGGGAGTGGTGTTAGTATCTATATAGTCCATGGTATTGGTTTCAAGATAATTTCTGAGGGGCTTGAGCTCGTTGAGTGCGAGTCACTGTTCATTGAATCAGATATTGGAGCAGTGAGCATTCTTTTTGAAGTACGCTATTTACCGAGTGGTAACATGAGGGCCATTAAAAATAGTTATTTACGGTTATTAACGAAGTACTGCAGAACTATAATTTTTGGTGATTTTAATTGCAATCTTTTCGATGTAGCTACAGCTTATGTTACTAGATCTGTTTACTGGAGATATAAGCTTACTATATATGAGACGTTGTGACTTAGCACACCAAACTACTTGACTTTTGGTTGATTAGTTATAATGCCTTGCTTAACTATTCTAATCAGGTGCAACGTCCGCCCATATCTTATCATTCATGGATCTACGATAGCTTTAGGAATAAGTGTATACAGGCAGTTTAAACATATTGATTGGGGTGGGCTCTCTGCTTGTGTAGCTGAGTTTAATTCAAGCACTTTTCTGACTACCGCGAGCGTCGTTGTGCAGTCGGAACTTTTGTATTCGCTTTTAAAATCGTTATATTCTTTTGTTTCTGCTGTCAGAAAAGTAATCCCCACGGATACCGATAAGTGGATGACGTGTCAGTAATGTCACTCAGGCAATGCTCCTTAGAAATTATGCATACTCGTCTTGTCAATCTACTGGATCTGAAGATGAATGACAAGTTTATTGCCGCTATCGGAATAAGGCCAAGAAAACTATTCGGAAAGAAAGAAGAAAATATTTTATCAACGTGTTTGTGGGAATAGGCTCCTCTACTATGTGTTAAGGAGTTAACATTACATTAAAGGGAATGATTCTCCGTTTAGATTCGGTGTGGATGAAGTGAATGATCATTTTGTATGTGAATCGACTTTTGACTTGTCGGTTGGCATTGACCCCTGGAAAAATCTGATCTTGTATGGGCCTTTCTCGTTCGCTTGTGTGTCGTGTCATGAGCTAAATGTAGTACTTCACCAAATTAAATCTAAATCAATTGGTGATGATGGGATTCCTATTCTCTTCATCAAACTTATCTTCCCGTACATTGTTAAACTGGTAATGATTCCTGTTAATTCTATATTCACTCAGTCGGTTTT